TAAGGATTAAGTATGTGATATTTAGGCGTCCGTTCAGCTGTTTTGGGCTTATTTGAGGTTTAGGGTTTTATTATTTTATTAATCGGGCTTAATGAATAAATAGCACGAAATGAATTAAAAAGGGTTTGGGCTGAAATATGAGTTGGACTGAGTTTGACTAAATGTTTTGGATTGATCTGTTGACTGATTATATAAGTTGTGTTTGACTGAATGTGGATTTTAAACACTCCCGAGATTAAATACTCGATCCGACTAATAATGGTGATGAAAGGTTGTTCACCATCGGGTTTGGTTTTGGGGAGACATTTTTAGGTGTCTACACCACCCGAAACCCACTCCCCTAAAAACCCGAAAGCCCTAAAAAACCCCACCACCACCCCTGGAAAACCCCGATCGACCCTCCCCCACCCTCGAAAACCTTAGCGGTGGTGGTGGGGGAGAGCCAATCAGGATTTTTCAGGGGTGGTGGTGGGGATTTTTAGGGCTTTCGGCTTTTTCGAGTTGATTTGAGGGTTAGAGAAAAGGAGGGTGTGTATCTAGGATTTCGGGGAAGGGAAACAACAGGGGTAGGAAGCTAGGAACGGCGACGGCGCCAAAAGCGAGGGAGGGGGTTTAGGTGGTCGGGGGATGTTCCGGCGCCGGAATCGAGGGAGGGGGCTGGGTTCTTGCGCAACAATGTGTGAGTTTGGGGGAAGGTGGGAGTCTTGGATGTGGGTGGGGCTGACAGGGTGGTGGACACCGGCAAAGGGGAGGCCTGGCGCTGTCGGGAAGAGGTGGTTCAAGCGCCAGCGAGGGGACGGGGACAGGCTGGGGTGGGGCAGTGGTGGCTGCCCTGGCTGGGGTGTAGGTTTTTCTTTTCTTTTTTTTTTTTTTAAGTTTTTTTAATAATTAATTAAGTAATTAAAAAGGAGCCAATAAAAAGATGTCACATGGCATACTTAACCCTTAATGACTAACGGAGTTAACGTCTGTTAGTCATTAAGAGCATATAGTGAATTATCGAAGTACTCAGGGGTATATGGTATATATAGAAAGTTTTATAGGTATATGGTGAATTATCAAAGTATTTAGGGATATTTGGTGAAATAAACCTAATTCTATACTCAAGAATCTGAATGGCTTTATACCAAAGACTTTAAAGTATTAAGTCACGTCTTATTAATTTTTATTATCATTATTAGTTTTTATAATATACTAAATACTGCGTAAATCTTGTTACTAAAAATGAACTTTTATATTCACTAAATGTCACTCATATATTAACTTATTTATAAGATAATCATGGATCGATTTAACTTTTCTTAAATTATTGTTCCGAAATTATTTATAATCCTGTAACAGTGATGAGGCAAAATGATCCGGATATTGAGAATTTCGAGAGTTTGTTAAATCTTTACAAGGAAACCTAAACTTGAACATTAACTCATTAGAAGCTACAAATTGGCGGTTCTTGGACGGTTCAAGCAAAGGAACTTGGTGTCTAGTACAAGCTCAAGTTCCGGATCACTCTACTTAGTGGTTTTTAATTAGTTTTTGCTTGCAAGTTTTTACCTTTTACTTGAACGGGTTTTTCTTGGTTTAAGCACTTAGGATTAATTTTATTTATTTTAGGAATTATAGACTAAGTAGAATTAGTTTCCTAATCTAAGTAGAATTGGAATTAGTTTCCTAATCTAAGTAGAATTAGTTTTCCTATTCTATTTGGATTACTTGGGGCTAAAGACTATGGACTTGTCCTAGTCCTATTAGACTTAGAATTAGTTAGTTTTTAGTTTATAAATAGTTGTAATTTCATGACTTTTAGATACAGAATTTTTCAGATTAATAAATCAAAGTATTTGTTTGTTTTGCAATCAAAACATTCGTTTCTTGAAGCTGGTGATTAGGTTCTTTAAGCTTTATTTAAGTTGACTAATTAAGGGGCGGTGTGACCTTTAACTTAATTAATCTACTTGTCTTCTTGTTTAATTCTTGGTGGACGAATCCTATAGAGAATTAGGCTGCATTATCCTTGTGTGTGTTTAAGTTTCTTGAACATACGCATCACAAAAACTTGAAAAGCTATGGGTGATTATCTTACATACAATTAAGGGGTGTATTGTACGTAGAAAAATGGTGGTGGCCATAGAGTGCAACTAGGCGCATAGCTGCTATTTGTTTATGATGTATATAGGAGGGTTAATTGGTAAATTCACTTAATTTTTGTGATTTTTTATTGCTACAATGGTATTTTTAAGGTACTATTATACTTACAGTGGTATATTTAATGTACTATTATACATGTATTTTCTACTACTAGAGTATAAGTTGTTTTAGTAGTACTATTTATAGCCATTATAGGCAACAGTGGTATAATATTTTTACCACTAGAAAAAAAAATAATTCACCACTCTTTTGTCTTATAGCTGCTATTTACTTGCCATGTAAATAACAACTATGTATCAATACTTAACTGTGGCATAAATATTGCATGGGGTTCCCTGCAAAATCCAGCTAGCCCTTCTTTAAGACGGAGAAGGAACCCTTCAATTCCTAGCTAGCTCAGACCCTTCTCTCTGATCCCCTCCCTATTTCTTTAATTAATGGGAACCCCCATTTCGAAGATGCATGTACACCATGCAATTTTAACTTGTAAGTACTGTAATAGGGTAAGCCGCCATAGGGTAGACGGCGCAAGAGCATCCACAATGGCTCAAAATAAGTCCTAGCTTGCAATTATCTAATAGTTATTGTAGCTATTAATTTGCTAATGTGGAGCTATATTAGGTATAGATTTAGTGAAATTACATATCCCTACAAAGCTATTTGTATGTAGTTACACATTTCCATACTTTCGCATATGAATTTATTTGTATTTACACTTAAATAAACTTGTACATTTTAATAAAAAATCATGATGTTGGCCTCTTAAAATCTATGCGTCAACAGCAGTGTCCAGAATGGTGCAACTTACTATATTTAGTAAAATGTCAATGGTGATTATTGGTAATGCGAAAGGGGCACTTAATTAGCTTCTAGTTAGTCTCAATAATTTAATTGATGATGGGATAGAGGCGCTGATTTGATTAAAGATTGAAAGGTGAAAATCATTAAGCTGACTTTATTGATACTCCATATTTATATTGTTTTTTCCATCATATAGCAAAGTTTATAATGTGGATACAAAATTCAAAATGAATGACATGAAGGACAATGATATAGAGTCCAATTTTTAAACCAAGCAGCAAGCACTTGTTCCTCGTTGCCATACAAGGCCAAAATATCTTATCATCACATTGGCCAACTTTGAATTATGATGATGTTAATGAATAATGAGACATCTTTAGTCTAATTTAAAATTTTGGAATGGACTTTAAAGGCTAATTATTCTAAATACAGAGTAATTCGTAGTATATATTACCCCAAAATAAGTAAATAAACGGTACAGTAAACTTGTCCAATATTTTAATTAATTTCTTATGGAGTACTATATTTGTAACAAACAAGGGCCATTAATGATACTTGTGTATATTGTGTGTTGTGTCACGTCCAAAAAATTGATATTGATTGACTTTTTTTTAGAGCGATGTTCTCATGCTTTGTGTACTTTGCTCTAATGACATTGAATTTCTTCAAAAACAATTTCGAACAATTAATATAGTACAGTAATAATTTCAGAAAGTATACATACAACATCTATTAAATCAATTAATAAAGCTAAGCTTTTGACATTGGACACTTTTAACGATTATATATTGAAATTTACTCTTAAAAAGAAATGTTATAGTAGTCAATATTATATAGTATTGAGCCTTTTTTTGTTGAGCATTTTATATAATTGATGTAAATCAATTTCTATCCGATCATATTGGCTTGTGGAAAACCGCTAGTGATACATACATATTGCAAATTGTTATAGAGTAATATCTGTTTAATATTGAGTTTATTTCTTTAATACGCAAATGAATATCTTCACTATAAGCTGTAAGTATCTCAAACAGAGGAGCTATATATATCTTGGATAGTTATTTTTTTTTTTTTTGACAGATCTTGGATAGTGACAATAGCCAAATTAATAATAAAAAATTACAAGTTCATATGGATTTAAGCTCACAAAGATTGTTTAGATTAACATAAAAGCCATTCTAATATATCCTGACACACGGTAATGTGTGTTAATGTAATGAATAATTAGCCAATTGATGAGATTCCTCGTAAATAATTACTACTCAAATCTGAAACGTGGGGAGAGTCTTCCATGCTTAACTTAACTAGCTGTAGAAGATTACACTAAAGGCTGTGTCTCACGTGAGATCGACCGTCTTTAAATTCCCACCAGATGTTAAATTCTATTTCTGCCAGTCTTCCACTATCTTTCATTTTTTAATCTCCTCAGCTGGTACTGTTAAAAATTCTTCTTTCATAAATATCTAACTATGTTAGGTACTTACTTAGAAGTGTTCATTATAAAAAAAGAAAATAATAACATTTTAATGTTTTTTATTGATTGTTAAAAACAGTGTGTTGGGGTGAACTTCACTCTTAGGTAGTGTTTTCTTACTCATTTGAAATCAAGAGCTTTTAGCCCTACCTTTATTTTGTATGAACTCATTACTCATAAACTTAAATTATGCGAAGTATTATTGTACTTAAAAGCTTTGGACTTATGAAGTTGTGAGTTGTGATATACCATTAACCACATGCATATTCTATGTCTATGGTTCGCTCATACAGTGCACGCTCTAATTAGTAAAGTACATATATACAATCTAGTGCCCATAGCCCTATTTGCATATAGTATAAATGTATAATCCTTGGCAAAAACTAGTGCCCAACACGCCCATAGAATTATTTTTCGACAATTCAGTCATTCAAGGTTATCTTTATTTATTGGCAACATCCGCCACATGACATCTTTATCCTCAATTTCAACGTGTTCATCTGATTCAGCAGCAATAAATGTCATTATCAATACAGAGCATTACAAAGAGATTGAGATCTCAACACCACTTATGTCTACTCTCTACTCAAAATTAGGAGATACATACCCTTTCATTATTAAAAGCTTAACACAATTCACCACATATCATAGCTAACAAGAGTAACATCAAAAGTTAAAAACATAATCATAGAAAGAAATAGGAATAGCCCAATTTACTCATCAATGTAGTAAATTAATTTGGTAGCATTCCTTAAAAAATAGACATCCCATCCCAATGTATTTTCTATTTGAATTTACTAATTATTTTCCTTAAATAAAATGACCCCATAAATAAGTTGAAAAAGAAAAAACAAAACAATAAATAGTCCCACCATATTATTCCTCTCTTATTCTCTCTCTCTCCACCCCCCCTCCCCCCATTCTCCATTCCCTTCACTCTTGACTTCTTCTTCTTCCTTCTCTCAACTTCCCTCTCCATTTTCTCAATTCCTTAAACCCATCAACAGTCTCACCCTTTAAAATGCCCCCCTACCATTAATCCCCACAATCCACCCTTCCAATTACAATGATCACCGATTTCCGGCGGATTATCTTCGCCGTTATTACTACCATAATCTTTCTCGTTATCCTTAGATTATTCCTAAAGCGAAAAATTCGAACTTCTAAATTCAAAAAATGGTGCCGATTAATCTCAGATAAGTTTCACGACCATCAATTTCTCAAAGTCCCGGAGTTTAACGATAATTACCAGGAAAACCAACTTTTCCGGCGAGTTTCTCTCTACCTTAATTCCCTCGAATCGTTGGAACACTCTGATTATACCAACCTCATTTCCGGTTCTAAACCCACCGACATCCTTCTCTCTCTTAACCCTAATCAAAACATTCTTGACGAATTCCTCGGCGCTCGTCTTCTTTGGACATACGACGTCGTTCCTTCCGACACCGCAGAAAAATCGTTTCTCCTGAAGATCAGAAAACGCGACAAACGCCGCGTTTTGCGACCTTATCTCCAACACATCCACACTGTCTCCGACGACATCGACCACCGTGTGAGGGACATTCGGTTGTACACAAACTCCTCTTCTGGATGGAAAACGACGCCGTTTTCTCACCCGGCAACGTTCGAGACAGTTGCAATGGATCCCGAGTTGAAGAACAAAGTCAAATCCGATCTCGAAACATTTCAGAAATCGAAGCAGTATTACCACCGACTTGGCCGCGTTTGGCGGCGGAGTTACCTTCTCTACGGACCTTCAGGAACAGGGAAATCAAGCTTCGTCGCTGCGATGGCGAAGAGTTTATCATACGACGTTTACGACCTTGATATCTCCAAAGTTTCAGGTGATTCCGACCTTAAATTCCTCCTCCTTCAAACCAGCCCAAGATCATTGATTCTCGTCGAGGATTTCGACAAATACGTCGCCGGAAAAAACACCTCATCGCCGTCGTCTTCGGCGGCGGTGACAATTTCCGGCGTACTCAATTTCATGGACGGAGTGGTTAACTCCTGCTGCGAAGAACGGGTGATGGTGTTCACCATGACAACGAAGGAAGATATTGACCCGGCAATACTACGGCCGGGTCGGGTTGATGTTCATATTTATTTCCCTTTATGTGATTTTAACAATTTCAAGAATTTGGCGAGTAATTATTTAGGAGTGAAAGAGCATAAATTGTTTTCTCAAGTGGAAGAGATGTTCAACAATGGAGTTACAATGAGTCCGGCTGAAATCGGTGAGTTAATGATGGTGAATCGGAACTCGCCGAGTCGGGCGATTAAATCGGTTATCAATGCACTGCAAACGACGTCGTATACTAACGGTGTAATAGAGAGTTGCAAGGGTACGCCGAAGAATGGGTATAGGTCAGCAAGGGAATCGGTGGATGAGCCGTTTGACTCAGTTGCTGGAATTGGGTGTAGAGATGGCGTGAAAGAGATCAGGAAATTGTATGGGTTTTTGACAAGAAAAAGTGGCAGAAAATCTGATTCGTTCGATTTGGGTACGTGATCATCAACGGCTCAGGTTGATTTTTTCTCTTTTTTTATTTTATTTTTGGGTTGTTTTGTAAAAAAATGGTTTTAAAGAAATATGTTTAATAATATTGGAAAATTTTTTGGGCTACAAAAGTTAGGGGGAAATAAAAGTTGGATTGGAGATTTGGAGGGGGGAAACAGGAAGTTGGAAGAACATGGGAAAAAACTCATGATTCTCAATTATTCAAATTGTTCATAGTACTATTATTATTAAAATTTGTGGGACTGTATAATTAGTTTTAGAAGTTTATGTTTAGTATACTTTTATTTTTTGTTAATTGGGGGTTAAAGTTGAACCCTATGATAGATTGATAGATTGGGGATTGTAAATGATTATTTTTTTTTTACTTTAAACAAGTATAGAAAAGAATTTCAGATGTTGTAGATTTTACAGTAGTTTTGTTCTTCTCTTTTAATTTTCTATTATTAAGAACTAGTAGCATCCTGCATTTGCATTGGATAATTCAATGTATATGAAGTTCGAAATTAAATTACTATCTCTGTTTTTGATATGATTGTTGTTAAGGAGATTGAAATTTGACCATCTATACTCCAAGAAATGAATTTTTATTTTTATTTGCAAAATTAAAAGTGATATCCTATTTATGTACAAAAATTAAATTTTTCAGTTGAAAAGTGCTTTGAAGTTTGACATCTTAAATGTAAAAGGGCCAATTTTTTAAAAGTTGATGAGCTACTTTCTGATTCATAAATGATAAATGCACATGATGATTTAAATTAGGTCATCAAATTTCAAACACCTTCTTTCAATGTCATGACCAACTTTGATTGAAATACCTCACTGTATCTGATTTACATCAATGTACTACTCCCTTCTACTCAAATTATCTTTCCTATAACTTCTCACCTATCTCCAAGAAAATCATTCTCCATATAATTAGAAAAAACCCTTCTCTAAATAGTGTACGTTGTAAAGATAATTACTTTGTATTAGTCTGAGATGTGTAATATGCCTAATGCTTTCATACCAACACTATCAGAGTATCAGCATAATTTTATGCGCGTAAAATATCTACCTCGCACCATATACTTTTTTAAGTATGGTATTGAAGAAAGAGTGCAAGTCAAGTTATGAGAATGCTGTAAATAGAAGTATCAAATTTTACATAAAAAAGTCTAGTTACTTACCAAATGATACATTGTTGTTGGTTTAGAAAATCTCAATGCCTTTTTTTCTGGAAATCTGGGTATAATAACTTGACAATAGTCACTGTTTAGATTTGTTGATCCAATAAACACAAGTTTTGACCCTTAACCTAAGATAATTGGTTGGGCCTAAACAGTGGCGGACCTAGAAATTTGACAATGGGGGGACAATTTCGATAATTTAACTAACAATAACCTATTTAAAAAAAAATGGGTACACAATACAAGTATTTTGGGTTTGGTTGGGAAATAGGAATAAGGGAATAGTCGAGTGGTATGGTTGAAATAAAACACCAAAAAAAAAAAAAAAGGAGTGATGTTACAAGGGGGATTCGAATGCCATATTATCTTGTGATGTTAATTTCTTAGCAAACATTTGCCAAAGATGCTCGTTGCAGTCCGTGACTCGTGAGTCGTGACCGCGTGGGTGGTACGTGGTTCGTGCCCCGTGGTTGGGAAATAGGAATAAGGAAGTAGTCGAGTGGTTTGGTTAAAATAAAGGAATTTTTAATTTTATCACCTCCAAAAACAACTTAATTGCTTTTACCACCTCCATAAAAAAAGTTTTATTTTATCATCACATAAAAAAAAATGAAAATTGACTTTTACTACCAATCACCGCCAACTAACGGATTTTATCCATAAATTCGTTAGTGGAGCCTATCATGTCCACGTGTCACCATATTATTAAGTAAAAAAATAAATAAATTAACAAATAAAAAACAAAACCCAATAATATGGTGACACGTGGACATGGTACGCCCCTAACGGATTTATGGACGGAATCCGTTAGTTGGAGGTATTAGTGGTAAAAGCCAATTTTTTTTTATTTTTTTTTATGTGGTCGTAAAATAAAACCTTTTTTTATGGAGGTGGTAATACCAAATTTTTCGTTTTTTACGGTTGGTAAAAGTTAAAATAACCTAAAATAAAACACTCACCAAAAAAAAAGAAAAATGATGTTACTAGGGGGATTTGAACCCTCATCTACGTAAACCTGAACTTGGGCCCCTTGACAAATTGTTTCTAGCCCACTAACAACTTAGCTAAGGCAAACTTTTTGTTTATTTTTACATTCAATTTTATATAACTATTTTCCAGTTTTATTTTTTTTCCTAAATTTTTTTTTTCCTCTGTTTTTTTTTTCGAACGTGGGGGGACAATGGTCCCCCCTTGTTCCTTCATGGGTCCGCCCATGGGCCTAAACCCTGGTAATTCTTGGAAGTTGGAACCATAAAATAGCTAATGCTGGTAAATGATGAGGCATTATAGTTGTGTTAAACAAAATTGCACATATTGATCATGTTGTCTTGTAATATCATATAGTAGTGCAAGACTGTTGGTACTAGTTTAATCAAAATTATTTTGAGGGGATTTCAACAGGTTTTGGGAAATAGACCATTTTCTCTAAAACATTGTGCTAGAATGCCAGATTTACTCCTATAGTCCTGGAGTGGTAATCATCCAATTTTAGAAGTGAAAATATATACTTGTAGATCGTAATATTATAAAAATAATCAAATGGTAAAGGGTAAAAAGTAGGTGTGAAAGTTTGTTGATGTATATCTCACCAAATAACACATGTAAGCGTTCCACATTGATAAAAGTTGAGAGAGTCAAACACTTTATAAGGCTAAGGAGTTAAACCTCCTATTGGCATATGGTTATGGGATTGAACCTTACTTGGACTTGTGAAGTGGACTCTCTTTCTTGGTTTATTTGCAGGTGCGGTCTAAACTCGTATTTAACATGGTATCAGAGCCAGACTCACAGTTTGAAACTTTTAATGGCTCGAGTATATTGTCAGACCCATACTTGTCTATCTACCTAGTTCTCTGTATAAAATTTTTACAAGTAATTTAAAAACCAACGTTTTATTTTAATTTTACTCCGTATTAAAAAAATCTAACCAGTAACCACGAATATAAATACGGAGTACAGTTTGCCTCAAAAAAATTAAAAAAAAAACGGAGTACAGTGGTTTAAAATTTGAATGAAACTTTATAAAAATATGTGGTCCGTAGTCCTTGAACAATAACGGGATGGCTCAGACTCAAAGCTGAAATAGCCCAAGAAAAAAAAATCAAAAGCTAGGCCTTTTCCTGAGCCCTACCAAAGTAGATGAGTGCCCACAACCTTTCAATGGGTTTCATCATGACGTGAGTACGTTATTTTGGCTACTTTTATGTTCTTTGTCCTTCCAAACTTGATGCACTCGTACAATTACAACCACAACCACAACCACGACAACTCCTCTTTCACATCTTCTCTTTACATTATATGACATCAGGATTCCTCCCTCCTGATTAAAGAGAAAAACATCATCAGCTTTTGTTCACTCGTATAGTCGTATTTGATCATCACTTGCACTTGAGCTTGCTCGTAGTTTTTTACTCCGTATGATACAAGTATTATGTACATGAATACGAGTAAACTTAAGATGACAAAACTGAGGTCAATATTTCAAAGTATAGCTAATTGTTTTTATCAAACACTCAATAATATAAAATTAAAGCATGGACCAATGGATAACGACATATTAGAATTTTGAGATAAATTCATACACTAGATGAAGTTGTGGATCGACTATGTCACAATGTCATACTGTATGAACTCATACATTTGAAGGGGCTGTAGTAGTTAGGTCAATCAATTGACTTTCAGTTTTTTTTTTATAATTAATAAATTAAGCATCATATTGTTCTCTGTTTATAATTAAAGCATATGTTAAACTGAACTTTGGATATTCTTTATTTTACTCAATATTTTTGGGCGACTGAGCATGAAATTGTGGTCATTCATTTAGTCAAACTTTGCTTAAGTCATACTTTTCTCTAAAACATTGTTTACAATTTTCATCAAATTTACATGTACTTCTCAAAAACTTTACTAAAAAGGCGATGCCTTGGAATCGGATTCCAATTTCCAATTATTAGCTTGTTGATATATGAACTTCAATGGCAGAAGCAACTTCAAATTATTCTATTGAAAAAAGGAAAATCATAAAGGCCACATATGATTTATGAAGTACTTGTATGTATTTTTTTTAAGGGATAATAAATAAATAAATAAATAAATTATCTTCACTTTTTTTTTGTGATCAAATTTTGATTGATTTTATACTGAGAAAGGGATACAACTTACAAGCTGAGACTTTGTCCCTCTTTTCTCACAAGGCACACCAAATTAGTTTTTCAACTATGAAGAATGTACGACTAACAACAACCGTCTTAGTTTTATTAAAAGTATATTTTTATTTGATTTAATCATCATGTATTTGTTGAATAAAAATCTCTTTGTAAATATATGAATTTTTATTTATGAATCAATTGTTTAATAAAAATTTTGCAAGATTAGGAATAAGAATAAAATAAAGAGTAACAATAGATCAATACTGCATGGAATATATGGTGTGCATCTCAGCGCATAGCTGCTATGCATTTACAATGCATATAGGATGACAGAAACATAAATTTGGCAAGCTTCGTAATTAAAAATGAAAAAAGCTACCTCTACAATGGTACATTATAATGTACCATTATGCATGTATAATGTACCATTAAAGTATAAGTTGTTTTAATAGTACTTTTTGTGTACTATTATGCACGTAGTGGTACTTTTTGCCATCCTATAGGTTGAATATTTTCCTCCAAAATACTTACCACCTGTCACCTATTATACATGTAGTGATATATTTTTTCATCCTATGTATTTGCTAACAAATAGTAGCTATGCGCTAAGGGTTAACCATGATCGGGCATATTAGCATATAGGTGAAGCTGGACCTAGAAAGTGGTCGATTCATCTCTTTCAAACTCGGTTTTGCAATCAGACTTCTGTGCCTTTGATTATTGGGCTCTCTCATACTAGTACGAATTATTTTTGGGCCTCCCTATACCTCAATTGTCCAATACTCATAAGTCCTCTTATTATTTATATGGGACATCTTTGTAGAAAGGCCGAAAGAACTCATACCCCAAAAAATAAACCACAAGGTCCACAATTGTATATTTGTATGAAGACAATTGATAATTTGGATTATCGGTTAAAGCTGGGCATGGGTCGGGCATAGCCCGGCCCGGCACGAGCATGGCAGCGGCACGACATGGCACGTGGAACGATCGGTGGGCCGTGGGCTGCGCCGTGAACAAGGAAATTGAAATTTGGCATGAGCATGGTGGGCAGCACGAACACCGGCCCGTCAACACAATACTTTTATAATAAAA